TTGAATACATTGTTCTCTATATTGAGAAACACACAAATTTTTAAATTCTTGTAATTTTATTTTAATGAGCAAAATCTAGTAGCTATTCAGCTAAAACCAAATGAAGTTTCAAGATAATAAAGTAATTCTTATAAACATAGCTTTGTCCTTCACAAAAATGTTGTGGTTTTACTGAGGTGCAGCAAGAAAGTTTATTTGTTTACACGAGCCTCAACATATATCTACTTTACAAATAATTGTATAACCCTCTGCCTTGAAGAAAACACTGTCTCTGAAGCAGTATGTTTAATAAGTACAGTAGGTAAACCAACTTATTTATAGAAAGTTTTAAAGTATGTATATACACATTATTTCCCTTGAATAGAAATTTCAATAGTATAAAACTTCTTTGGAAATTCAAGCATGTAGGTGATAACGTTGCGCTAAACTTTCTATGAGTTTTATTTATTATGAGGATATTTCTTTTCACTCTAAAATATTATTTCAGAAATGTTTTTCTCCCTCCCCCCTTTTTTTAACATGAGAAGTTTTAAATGTTAAGAACATGCTGCTCACTGTGAATCAAAAAGCCTCATCTAGGAATTAGAAAATGTATTCTATCTAAACGTTTCGTTAATTCAGTGGATTTCAGATTTCAACATGAAAATATGTTAATATTGATGAATAACAGTTTTTTATTTTTGACAGAACTACTACAGTCATATTTTTCAAGAAACTTAAATTGTTTTAACTATTAGAAACTAAAATATTCAGTTCCTTTTGAGCAAGCTATAATAAGTCATTGATATAAATTTTGTATTGCCAAAAACATTTCAGGTATAATTAAAAATGTTGTTCTGGCATTCATATTTTTACTTAAAATAACTATGCAAATAAAAAAGGCCTCTATAACCCCATCATGTAAAGTCGTTATTTAATACTATAAAACTAGACACCTTGCTCTTTTGTATAACACGGTCAAAAATAGATTCCTACATTTGTCTATACACGTTTTATACTTTTGAATTTATATAGTTAATGTTGAAACATTAAAAAAGAAACTTCAGTATTTTTTTCAAACTGCACAAGATACCAAAAAGCAATTTATTTAATTAGGACAGAAGATTTTGTACACATAGCTGTAAGCATGGACAGATTAACAGATATTCCTGAGGTAGACGGTCTCATCATTCTGCAGTATCATTAGTAGCTGAGATGATTCTTTCACTTCTTGCCATTTACACAGCTTAGAACTGCATTCTGTTTTTTTTTTTTACACACATTAAAAACAAATATATTTGACACTGCAACAAAATATAAACACATTGGGAAACACCACACAGTTAAAGAGGAATGTATGTGTTGGGGGTTAGTGTGTGCATATTTATGGGTGTTTGTGTGCATGTGATTAAAACAAAATTTCAGAGAACGATATATATCACATACATTCTAGCGGCTTGTATTTTATTATATGCTATTCTGTTACATTAGAAAATGTATTTCCCAACTCATGTGACTGATTTCACGATCCAGTAATGAGCTGCAACCAAAGGCTGGGAAAACACAGGCGAAGGTAATGGAAGCATAAATTACATATAATACCTAAAAGAAATGTCTTTCTACTCTTACTATTACAGTATTGTGCCACCTAAAGCCAGCGTGGCAATGTGTTACTTAAACCGTGCATAGCTCAACACCGAAGCAAAATGGTTTTACTATCATTTAGAGAAGAATGATAAGAATTTCCTGCATCGGGATTATTTGAATTACTAATATAAAACTATACATAAAGTACATCATATTTGATAAAGATGATAAACTTCGGATAAGATACAAATCTTAAGCCAATGACATTCTTCTGGGACATTAATGAATACTGTCTAAATTTATCTGGAACAATATATTCGTGATTTAACCCAGAAAATGACAGGATTATGAAATGGCTTGATTTTGAGATCTAAAATTATTTGGGAGATATAACATTTTGCAGGAAATATAAAGTGAACAATGTTTAAAACAACACATTAATACTATCTGCTGTATAACAGAATGAAAAAATATTCATGTATCAAGCTTTTTTTTTTTGAAAAAAGAAATCCCAAAAATATAAATTTAAAAACTAAGAGAGATGGCACACTGGGTTATCACCAGCATGGACCAGAATAAACTTCTGAATATGCATTTTCTCATAACTTCTCTGAGACAGTCTCCCTAGGTCATTTAAGGCTAGCCTTCATCTACTGTGTAGCCCAAAGCTGACCTTGAACTGATAGTAATCCTCCTGCCTCTACTTCCTAAGTGCTGGGTTTGTAGGATGCACCCCTTGCTACTATGCCTAGCAGATTTTCTCTTAATCTGAACTCTGATAATCACTTGACTATTTTAAATTTTCAAAATTGAAAAAAAAAGGCATATAGTGTGTGCAAGATAAAGCAAATCAGTGTTTACATGAAGATTCTTAGAAGCCAAGATTTTAATGTAATTCATTAGTATTAAGTCAGAAGATTATCGAATTAAATTCTCAGTAATGTTAAATTGGATTTCAAAATAATAAACTGAATGCTTTCCCCTAATATATATACAGGAATCTCTTGCTTAATATCAGTAATCTATTTTCAAAACCATACATTGCAAGCATGTTTTTATTATTTCAAATGAGAAAAATTATAATGCAGTGTAAGCAAACCCCAAATTAGCCTATTTCCTACAAAAGTACACACACTATAATGTCCATAGAAATATAACAAAATATCTTGATCGGATCCAAAATGCTTAAACATTGCTTTGTGATCATCCAGCAGTTATTGCTATTATTATCCTACAGTTGGTTGCATGTAGTTACAGGTCCTCTTTACATGCTATGGTAGAAGATGTTAGTTTATGATTCAATGTAGCAAATAACACATCAATAAAATGTGAAAATTAAAGTAAATTCAACAGAGCACCCAGCGCTAGATTTTTTTTCCACTAAGATAATGGAGACACGATACTTGGAGATTAAAGCAGATGGTGTGGAGTGAATGTTCACAGGAAATCTTTAGATGCACCTTCACACTGAGAAGAATGCATAGAGATGCTGGGGAACTTGGAGCTGCTGTTGGCACTGCTGGTCAGGCGAGCTTTGGCAAATCCTCAGAGATGGTGGTCAAACTGAAGAAAAGTGTAGTTGCAAAATGCAGATTTGCTTATTCTGTCAAAAACATGTTCATATGATGAAAAACTGAGCTAGTTTTACATAAATACCCATTTATTATAAACTAGGGATGTATCAACTCATAGCACTTCTCCTGCCTTTCAGTTCCTTCAGTCTCCAGATGGCAGGTTTGACTGTGGCCACAGAAGTGGTTGTAGGTCCAGGCATTGCCAGACAATGTTTTCATGCAAGAACCACAGTGCCATTTCCCCACAGCCCGTCCCTGTGTCTCGGTCTTACCACAGAAGGAGCAGGTGTACTTGGCATATAGGCTTATTTTAATTTTCTTCACCATTTTCTACAAGGAGGCACAGTAGTGGGTCCCATTTTTACCAGTGATTTGATTCCAACCTTCTTGGTGCATTTGGCCTTGTGGGTGCAATCAAGACCCAAGCCCAGAGAAGACAGTGTCAGGTTGTTTTTTAAAACAAATGTGTGTCACCGCACAGTACGACTTTGTCAAACTTTTCTTCCCAACATCTAGAGCACATGACCCGTTTACACTGAAACTTTTTTAAAAAGTCTACATGTGATCCTTATATTTTGTCAAGTTGGAATGCATCTCAGCCTTCTTCCCCCACACAGTGTTGTTTACAATATTGTATTGAGATGGAGAATGAGAAAGATGCACATAATTATTTCTATTTGATATGTACACCAAGATCCATTGAAAAATGAATGACAGATTTTTATATTCTCTGTAAGTTATTAATAGCCAATAATCCTTCTACTGGTAGACATCAGTTAGGGAAGCATTCTGTGGGGTACACTGGCATTTTCAAGTTCTCCCCTTGAAAATATCTACAAGTAATGTAATCTGATTGCACTGGACACACTGATCCCAAATGATAACCTCTAATGGCATTTTTTTAAATGCCTTGAAGGAATGGTCAATTCCATGTGGAAAAAAAAATAAGATGGGCTCATGTTTGTTCATCTCAGAAAATATAGATGTAGTCAAACTAAAGGGTCATTGTACACAGGCATTAACATGAAAGGACCCAATTAATTGATAGCAAGACAGTAGGAAAATTGAAAGAGTAATCGGTGTACCTTACTGAAAACTATATATTCATAATATTCACAGAAGTAAATAAGGAATATTGAAAGGGAGGAAGATAGGAAGGGAAGAAAAAAATGAAGGAAAAAAAGGGGAGATGCAAGGTATGAAGAAAGGAAAGAATCAGATAGTAGATGGGTAAGAGAAAGAGTCAGATCAAACACACAAAATGCTTTCTTGGTACCTTTTTTGGTGGAATAGAGAGTGGTAATTTCACGTTGAGGGAGGCTTTACAGCTATGTAGATCTCTGTTTCATGACTTTTTTCTAAAGCCAAAATTTGAAGCAACTTAAATATTACTAGAACAGATTAATACAACAAATAATGGAACATTCTTTTCATGGACTACAGCCACTAGAAACAGTGGAGGAGAACTTTATGACAATGCATGTAAAGGTGCCTGTAATACATTGTTTAGTGGAAAATGGAAATTTCAGAGTAATACAAAAGGCTTTCGCCTACTTTTCATAAGCTGAAACATTTTGTGGTCACAGAAGCAAATATATTTGCTTTAAAAAGATAGAAGTCAAGAGCCATGTAAGATCATACAACTAACAGTGGTCACTTCTAGACTTAGAATTTCACAGCACATGTGGGTGGAGGTAGCTTGAGAGGGAACATTCACATTTCATTTACTAAATTCTTAGATATTTTAAAGCTTTCTTATGAGAAACCAGACATACTGATTTCTACTATATACATGAGAAGGAGATGAGCATTTATGTGCACCATTTACATATTGCTTAATCCTAGTTCTCTCTTCCAAAGGTGTCAGGCTGCCAACAAGACTTGCCCCACAAATTACATGTGGAATAATCACATCTGCAGATGCCTGGCTCAGCAAGATTTTATGTTTTCCTCAAATGCTGGAGATAGTAAGTAGAATCTTATTTTGCTCTATATATGTATATGGTCTATACATTTATTAGCACATATTTTGTGATTATTGTAAAATATTCAGAAGTCATTATTTGAGATGCCTGACTGCAAACAGGATGTCTCTTGTTTCACATTGTCATTAGTTTTATCTCCATCTAAGGGATCATGCCTAAATGGGAAGATGTTTTAAAATGTGTTTGTTTCACACCACATGCAGAACAATGTAAGGTATAGTGAAGATGTGTTTGTCTCAACTTGACAGATGGATTCCATGACATCTGTGGACCGAACAAGGAGCTGGATGGAGAGACCTGCCAGTGTGTGTGCAGAGGGGGTCTCCGACCTTCCAGTTGTGGACCCCACAAAGAACTAGACACACACTCATGCCAGTGTGTCTGTAAAAGCAAACTTTTCCCCACCTCTTGCGGAGCCAACAGAGAATTTGATGAGAACACATGCCAATGTGTGTGCAAAAGAACCTGCCCTAGAAATCAGCCACTAAATCCTTTAAAATGTGCCTGTGAATGTACAGAAAATCCACAGAAATGCTTGTTACAAGGGAAGAAATTCCAGTATCAAACATGCAGGTAAGGGATCTTCGCAATAGCATCAGTTTCTCTTACTGGAAATATAATCTCAACCAAAAGCAGTTGTCATAACCTAACAGTTGCCTGTCAGAATGAGGCCAATAAGTTTAGAAGGAAAACATGATTTTAACAAATGATAAACTACAAGATTGGATTTGCTCCTAAAAAGAAAGATAGGAGTGTGGGGGAACCAAAACCAGACCCATATTTAAGATGAACTCCAAATCCTGTCCTAGAGGCTAAGGAAATAGTGTGCTATATGAGTTAGAGGACTTGTGTAATATTTTCAAAATACATCCATGCAATCCACACCTACCTTTACCAAACATTATACTTTCAGATATAATTTAGAACTATCTGTTATAAGTACAGGCATTTCTAGTGTAAAATTTATGGGTAAAGAATAAGATGATTCCATTTGCTGCTGAATGTTATGAAATATTTACACTAAGTATTTTGTAGAATTAGAGAAATAAGTCAATATGTTATCAGAGTTATATGGGACTCATTTCTTAAGCCTTGATTTTGTTCCTTTCTTCTTCAAGGAAAAAAATGAGCTTATTGAACTTAAGGACTTTCAGTGTTATTCTCCGAATTTATTCCTCTTTTATCTCAGAAAATCAGATGAACTACTCTAAACCGTATTTGTGTTTTGGATTTTTTTGAACCACATTCTTTTGTATTGCTCAACCAGTCATTGTTTCTTGATTCTGTAACTTTAATGTCTTCAACTCCATTTCTAAAATTCTCTAATTTCTTGTTTCACTAGCATCTTAGTGCCCAGGTCTGTCTTCTGCAGAACTTCTCAGAACCTAAGTGTGTGGCACTGGGTTTTACCTTTCTTTTTTTTTTTTTTTATTGAGTTTATTGGTACATTTAGGGATACAGTACAGTTACATTCATTGTTGGGATCATGTACCTTTACATGGCAAGTCTTGATTCTCATTTTTTTCCCCTTACCTCTGCCCTCCCTTCACCCCCTCCTCCCCTCCCCATCTACAAACACTTTATTTTCATCTTTCCATTCTCTCACATTTTTTTCTTTTCCCTTTTTTGTTTACCTTTCTTTAATCTCCCATTTAGACAGACAGCTGTAGTCTGGTGCATGACCTCCATGTTGAAGTTCTAAGTAAGCCCGAAGGAGCCTCTGAGAGTTGCCACCCAGAGGATAATTTTGACTTCACGCAGGCTGACCTCTCTATCATCTGTTTTTTTACATTCTCCTCCTCTTTGTCTAACTTGAGATTGTACTTTCCTGGTGTTCACTGCATTTGCGGAACATTTGTTTTTAATCATTTTCACTATTCTTTTCATCCACGACATTTTAAAATATGGGTGGATAATATCCTTTTCAGAAGATAGACATTTATTTATTTATTCATTTACTTACTTACTTACTTACAATGTCATATTCCCATTAGTGGTCAGCATTATTTGCTAAGGTAAAGTAGAGTCTATCATTGTGTGCTCTCAATTTAGTTTATATTTCTGAAGATCTGTCTGCCCTAGCATTTTAGTTCCTATAAAAGAGCCGGTAATGAATCTCACTGATTATACTTTTTCTTCATTTGTTATTGTGGAATACCTTATAGAAATCATTATATGTGCTATTTAGAATGTTTGAGCAATAATTACAGTCCAAATCTTACTTGCATATTCCTTCACCAATTACCAAAGACTACCTAAAAAATATACTTTTAGCTGGGCAATGTGGTGCATGCTTGTAATCCCATCACTTGGGAGGCTGAGCTAGAAGGATTTCTGTGAGTTGAAGACCAGCCTAGGCTTCATAATGAATTCAAGGCCAGTCTAAACTACATAGAGAGACCCTGTTTCAATAAACCAAAATACACACACACACACACACACACACACACGACATTTCTGCATCCAGAGGGATGTACATACCAACTCTTATTAAACCGAGTAAAATCTTTGAGGGAGTCTAGTACTTAGTGAAAACCCAAAACTGTTTATATTTGACTACAGACTAACCAGCCATCAGACTTCTATAAAACTCTTTTTTAGTGATGGAAATAGCACACAGGGCTTTGCACATGCTAGGCAAGTGATCTTCCACTGAACTACATACCCAGACCTCACAGAATTAATTAATTAATTTTTAGCATATGTTTTCAATCTGTAATGATTACATTTATCTTAGGGAGTTAGTAGAAAGAATTTCTATCATTGTATTTATCTTAATAGGATACATTCTTCAATAAAGACTTTCTGTTCATTGTGTCTCTTCATATGTACACTCTACTAAGTGTATAGTTACAGATTTTCTTGTGTCAAATGGCTCAAAAGAGAAAGCTGATAGTTTGAAAATATATACTTTTCTCATTTTCTCTTGAGATTTATCTGTTCCATAATTTTGTCCACTGCTTTCATCAGCAGCTTTCACTGATCTTTGAGATTGTATCCCTTTTGAATAAAGAAATACTTGTGGGTGAATTTATATGCAAGAAGATTTTTTAAACACTAAATAGATATACTTTCTTTTCTAGAGAAGAGAGAAATGAAATTCGAAACCATATGTAGAGTTTTTTTAGTGTACTGTTAATTTCCATCCCCAGCCATCTTGCATTTTTTCCTGTATCCTTGTTTCATGTGCTAGGCTTGTTCATACTCCAGAAAGATCTTCAAAGATAGTGCCAGTTCATTGAAGTAATATGGCTCTGCCCTGTTGGAAATTAATCTTATTCCTACTGCTAGAAATTGGAAGTCTAGATTGAAAGGAAACAGATCCCCCAAGATGAGCATTGTTCCTCTCCCTCTGCCCAGACCCCGTTTCACAGGAAGTCCAAGTGGAGAAGGGAGAGTCACCTACTATCACGCAACCAGCTGTCAAGTAGAAATACAAGAGTTTGGGCAGGACTGCTTATTGAGGACCACAGACCTGCCAAGATGGCTGGTTTTAATTGCTTGAAAGTCTGGGTCCCACACATGTCTCAGGCTCTTGTGAATTCTGCCATGCTTATGTGATCACAGAAAATGAGGCAGACCTTAAACATTCACTTTCAAATTTTCTGTTTTCTGTTACTTTCATCCACAAAGCAGAAAGCACTTCAAAAGAACTAATGATTACAATATCCCATCTTTCCATTTGTTATATCAGCATGCAAGACATGTTTTTAAAAGCCATTTCGTTCCTTCAAAATATTATAATTTTAAGCACAACCTTGAATATTTAGAAAACTATAATTTTTTGATAAATTGATATTTTTTCTAGTTTAAATGTAGAAAAAATCTAAAAGTACATTAGCAGCATACTGAATTCACTGCCTTAGTCTTTAACAGATGTGTTCCTCTTTGTTTTCCTAGTTGTTACAGACGACCCTGTACAAATCGACTGAGGCATTGTGAGCAGGGACTTTCATTTAGTGAAGAAGTGTGTCGCTGTGTCCCTTCATACTGGAAACGACCACATGTGAACTAAGATTGTACTATTTTCCAGTTCATCATTTTTCTACCATGAAAAACTGTTACCACGTTGGAACTGTCTATGAACAGAGAGACCATGGTAACAAAGACAAAAATCTGTTTTGTTTTTTTTTAACTATGTGGATAATTTTACAGAAATGGACTGGAGCTCAACTGTAAAAGGCCTCTTTAAAGACTGGTTTTCTGCCAATGACCAAACAGCTGAGATTCTGTGATTTTTTTTTTAAAGAAAGAATAATGACTATATAATTTATTTCCACTAAAGATATTGTTTCTGCATTCATTTTTATAGCAATAACAATTGGTAAAGCTCACAGTGATCAATATTTTTATAACATGCAAATATGTTTAAAATAAAATGAGAATTGTATTATAAACTGGTAAGTTCAGTCTATTGCCATTTTGCATTATAAGAAAAAAAATGATATTATGAAACACTGATCTCCCCATGCTTTTTTTCTTTAACCAAGTGTCAGATTTTGATGGCTATTTAAAAGAAAAAAGGTAAAAGGAAGTTAAGGACAACTGTATACTATTTCATTTCAATTAAATTTTATCTCAGTATATTTAATGATTATAAATATTGTAGCATATGATACCTTGGAATTTATCACCAAATGAATCTACGCAGAACATCCTATGAAACAATCTACTTAGCGTGTCCATCTGATAAAAGTTGTTAAGTGCACTACAAGCATTTTGAGTCTGCAGTGGGTATAAAATCCTTCAGTATGCATTAAAATGGCTTTAAAATATTTTCTCAAAAATAATTTTTGCCAAATATGCAATTTCTTTTGACCAGCTAAAATATTTTTGAAAGCTACAGTCCTCCTACCTTTAAAATAAATTTGAAATAATATTTAAATTCTCATATATTTTCAAAACAAAACATCTCAGCCATACAACTAAAGTGCCTGTTTTGGGAGTTTTTGTATTTCTGTTGTTGTTTTATTTTTGCAGTGCTGAGGATCTAACTTGGGGTTTTATACATGCTGAGCACATGCTTTACCACAAGCTATATTCATAACTCCAATGTGTTACGTTTTTCAAGGACATCACACTAAAACACTGCTCTTTATGAACAGACATTTTGCAAACATGAATAAAATCAAGCAAATGACTTGCTTGTTGACAATATTCATTGTATAATAGTGTGACATAGGTATTGTATATAAGTAATTAGACCTGAAAGGAGAAAATATTCAATACAAGTTATATATAGATAATCTCTAGAAGTGGCAAATTTATTATACTCGAAACCCTCAATTAGTATAGAGGTTTAGTCATTATAAAACACATAAATGTTTAATTTGTATAGAGGACTAATCATTATATATAAGCAATATAAATATTAGTATTGACATGTTTTGCTATAAAATAATTATTTTCAAAATATATAATTAGACTATAAATTCCCTAAAAACTTCCTCAGCATTTTCCATACTGACTTTTAAAACAGCTTTTAAAAGCAATCTTTGCTGCATTTCAGTTATGTGCTCAGTACAGCATGAACATCTACTTTATGAAGTCATATGTTTCTCATGTATTAGAAAATAAAATGAAAACAGTTTCTCATAATTCTCTCATTATACATTTACACACTATCCTCCAGTGTTTCAGTAAAGATTAATCTGAAGCCTCTAAGCAAAATATTGTACATTCTACATTCTATATTCTGGGCAAATTTGTGTTGTTTTCACATTTAAGGAAAACAAAGGGATGGAGAAAAGGAAAATGAACTTGAAAACAGCTAGATTTCTGTAAAATTCTTCAAAAGATCAAATTCTGAGTGATTGCAGAAGGGAAATTGGAATCAGAATAACTTCACCATCGAATGAAGAGGCGTGAAAAGTTCATCATCTTTGAAACTGAGCTGTATTCAATGCAATGACTCTTCATCTCATTTCAGCCAAAAATGAAAGCAAACAAACTTTATGTAATCTGTTAGTGTCAATTATTTGTGTTTGATATATTTCAAATATATTACTTTTGAAGTTAATTTTAGAAAAATAATCTAAGCTTCCTGAGGCCATTCAAAGAACATTAGGAACTGATACCACTACTATTATATGTTAGACTAAAAAACAATCTAAACTATATTTCTCAAATATATGGGCAATCCAAAAAAAAAAATCAGTAGACCAAAAATTAAAGCCATAAGCATGCTAGGAAAACTATATTTAAATTTGTTTCTGGAGATGTAATATTTTCTATTTAAAATCAAGAGTAGCATGGACAAAGACAATATATTGCCAAAGATGCTTAGAAACAATGTTATGTGGATCATAAAAACCTCACTTCAACAAATTATAATCAATGAGATTTTTTTTTGTAGCCAGTGAAGGTGACTAGAGATAAAACTAAGCAGTTATTTGGAATATCAGCAAATATAATTCAGCAAAAACTAAAACTACAATAAGAATATGCATAAACTCTTCAAAGGAACCCCGAGATACTCATACTATTAATCCAAATAATGAAGTTGAGAAAATACTGGAAGCTCGTGGCAGCAGTTAATATGTCCAAACTTTGGAAAGTTTATAAACAGAATTTTACATCCAGAAATCTAATACTGTATAGTCAGTTGAAAAGGCTAAAGAAAATAAAATGTTTTGGTAAGCAGTTATATAAGAGTTGACATTTACTAATAGCCTGAGTGAAACAGATTCCATTATTAGAATTTTTAAAAACAACCTTTCCTTCATATTTGCATTACTCAGATCAGAAGCTTGAGCAGTCTTGATATAAGACTGAATTCTCCCAGAGTGCAGTTTAAGGGAAGAAGCAAAGTTTCATGAGCTGACACTCATGCACCTTAGGCTTCCCCTGCAGATGCCCTGCTCCTGAACCAGTCTCACTCAGTGGGAGAGAGAAGACGCAGACACATCAGGTGCAAGAGTTCATATTGCAATGATTGTTTTAACATGTTGCCAAAGCTTAGGAAACTCCTTGCCTGGGTAAGTTCCCATGTTCCTCTGTCTAGGCAGTGCCAGGATAGGAGCGAACAAAAGTCTCTTGGCTCAGACTTGTTTATATTACTGTGCTGTGTCCAAGGTCTGAATTTATCCAGCAGTGTTTGCAAAGGATACTTTTGGAAGTATCTTATTTTTATATAGCAGATAAAAAGTTCTCAATACACTCATTATTTTATGCTAAAAATGCATTATAGTATTCCCCAAGAACAATTTAAAGAAGTAGAATGACATACACAAAATAGTTTAATTACTAATTTATCTGTTCAACTACTGAAACTTTTAGTGTCCTGCATATTTTTAAAGAGGAAAGTAACTATCTGTGGACAAACAGAAAGGTAAACAAAAGTTTCCTGTGGACTTCTTATTCCATAACTAAAATCTCATTGCTTAAAGAAGCATACTAAACAAGTTGATCCACAGTACAACTGAGCACTGGACTGGAAGTCAAATCAAGTTTTTAGTCCTGACCTTTCTTCTGTGTCCCTGAGCAAGTCACCAATCCCCCTGAGACTCAGCTTGTTAATCTGTGAAAGGAGTTGGACTAAAACTGTGTATAAATCTTAGCTCTGAAGTTAGTGTTTCTATTAAATGGGGAGAAGTCAAAACCAGAGTATTTTTAAGAACTTTGGAGATGCACCATTTTTGAAGTTGGTGACCTCATTAAAAGGGACTATTTTTCTTTTTTAAAACGTGTTATACAATAAATTATAAGAAAAAAATCACCCTTATACTATTAGCTCAAAGTAGGGTTTTTAAAATTTCTTTTTAATACTAAAGGTGGTCACATATGAACACTGAAAAAAAATAAAACATCATGAAAAAAAAGAAATAAACAGCAACATTAAGATTTATTCTGCAATTCTTACAAGCCTCAACAGATACACATATACTTTACTTAATCCAGGAAAGGGCTTTGAATCAAAAATTTATTGCTAATTATTGCTACCATCTGGGATTCTGATAATAGGATGTGATTAAGTACTGAGCTGACATCATCAGGAATGGATATCTACAAATTTGTAAGTTCAGAAATCACAACGCTCAGATGCTGCTGAAGGCAAACCCATGAGGACTGTCTACACCACAGTCTTGAGACATGGGTGTCTACACAGACAGCAATACCTGTTTTGATTTAATAGAAATAACTTTGAAACGCTACTCAAAACTTTTTTAACATGTACTGATTAATAAGTGACTGGTAAAAATAATTCTAAATTATCTTAAATAATTAATTTTACAGATGTAATGTTGAAAGGAAAAGCTTTTCTCAGATTTCAATACATTATGAGTTCGTACTGATATACTTAGTTTGCTGTTCAGTCATGTCATATTTAATTTTTTATCATTTGAAGGCAGCCTTACATCTTAGACTTGTTAGAAAATTAATCTTGTTTATGGTCAAACTTATACACGTAGGTTCAGAATAGTTTCTTTGACAGTGTCGTTCATTTTACCCATAGCATGTTAACACCAGTAACTCAGTTTACAAAGAATTGCTTTTCCTTGGAATAAGTTGGATAACTTTACCATCGGAATTTCACAGAGCATTGCCTCATGTTTAACAAATAGGTCCTGTAGAACACCTTTTTCTTCACATATATTTCCATCCCCTTATACCCTCTCCCCTTCCCATAGCACTGGTTTTATTTCTATCTTCTACTTATTTTTTTTTTTCCAAAACTTCTGAATGATGTGCTATCACAGGAGGAGAAAGAATGCCAGTAATCGGTGGGATTTTAGAATCCAAGATCAAAAAATTCTAATCTTCCTCTGGTTTTACCCTAGGCCTGAACTGACCAACTGGTGTCCACTTTAGACAGCCTTTCTTAATTGTTTTTGTTGTTGTTGTTTTGGCTGTACCAGGGATTGAACTCAGAACTTTGCTAGTGCGAGGCAGGCTGTAGTATCACTGAGTTAAGTACCAGGCCCCAGCCTTTCTTAATTCTGATGATGCCTTTGTACTTCATGATCCTTGTAGAGCATATTGTAAACAAAGTGTCACAAACTTGCATTTCTGTTTGCTAATAAGAGACAAAATAAGAGGAAGGAAATGAGAGGATAAGAGAAAAGGGACGAGAAAGGAAAAGAGGAAGAAAAGGCACAGACAGTTGAATTTTGAGAAAAAGGTGAAGATGACTATGGCTGTTTGGAACAGGAATTTTAAAAAGTGTGCAAAGTTCTTGAAATACATATAAACATTTCTGCAGTTGTAAGAAAGACAAAGGCAAGATTATATTCTCTCTTGAGTTTTTCATTAGAGTATGGTACCTACTAAGTGAATCAGATAAATACCGTCATGGAAGTTGAAAAAATTCAGTGCTAAAAGTCCAAAATAAAGCACAGGAAGATATTTGA